TTAATATTACCTCTCATGTTCATTTCTACTAAAGTTGTATATCCACTTTATAAGTTAGTCTGGAAATATTTACAGAATGTGAACTCCTTCTAAAGTAACAAATCTAGTTTTATTTTATTTTCTTAAATTTTTAAGTTTTATTACATATTCATTACAGGTATATAGCATAGTGATTAGACATTTATGTAACTCATGAGGTGTTCCTTTTAGAAATCTAGTATTCATCTAGCACCATACATAGTTATTACAATATTATTGACTATATCCTCTATGTGGTACTTTATATCCTCATTACTATTTTGTAACTGCCAATTTGTACTTTTTAACTCGTTCACCTGGTCTCTAACAACCCTTCCATTTGGCAACCATCAGTTTGTTATTTATGAGTTTAACGAATCTAGTTTTTTTTTTTCTGATGTTTTTTAAATAATTTTTTTTTTCAATTACAGTTGGCATACAATATTTTATTAGTTTCAGGTATACAACATGGTGATTAAAGACTTATGTATCTTACAAAGAGATCACCCTGATAAATCAAGTACCCATCTGATACCATACATAGTCATTACAACATTGAATATATCCTCATGGTATACTTTACATCCCTATGACTATTTTGTAACTACCAATTTGTACTTCTTAATTCCTTCCTCTTTTTGGCCCACCCTCCAAACCCCCTCCCATGTAGCAACCATCAAAATGCTCTCTGTATCTATAAGCTTGTTTCTATTTTGTCTATTCATTTATCCTGTTCTTTAGATTCCACATTTAAGTGAAATCATAGCATTTGTCTTTCTCTGTCTGACTCACTTCACTTAGCACAATACTTCTAGCTCCATTCATATTGTTACAGATGGCAAGATATCATTTTTTTTTTATGGTTGAGAAATATTCCATTGTATATACATACCACTTCTTCTTTATCCATTCATCTATTGATGGACACCCAGGTTGCCTCCATACCTTGGCTATTGCAAATACTGCTGCAAGGAACATACGTAGTCACATGTCCTTTGAAGTAGTGTTTGGGTTTGTTTGGATAAATACCCAGAAGTGGTATGTATCCTTCTTTGTTTCTTGTTATAGCCTTTGTTTTAAAGTCTATTTAGTATAAGTGTTGCTACCTCAGCATTTTGTTTGTTTGTTTTTATTTTTATAAAATGTTTTTTTCCATCCCTTTACTTTCAGTTTTTGTGTGTCTTTCTATCTGAAGTGAGTCTTCTATAGGCAGCATATGTAAGGGTCTTATTTCCTTATCCATTCAATTACCCTATCTTTTGATTGGTACATTTAATCCATTTACATATAAAGTAATTGTTGATAGATATGTAGTTATCACTATTTTATTATTTATCGTTTTGAGATTTTTTTCTTTGTTCTCTTTTTCTTCTTAGAGAAGTCCCTCTAACATTTTTTGTAATACTGGTTTGTGTTGATGAACTCTTTTAGCTTCCTCTTGTCTGGGAAGCTCTTAACCTGTCCTTCGATCCTAAATGATAGCTTTACTGGGTAGAGTAATCTTAGTTGTAGATCCTTGCTTTTCATCACTTTGAAAATTTTGTGCCAATCCCTTTTGGCCTGCAAAGTTTCTGTTGAGAAATAGCTGACAGCCTTATGGGAGCTCCCTTGTAGGTAACTGACTGCTTTTCTCTTGCTGCTTTTAAGATTCTCTCTTTGTCTTTAACTTTTGGCATTTTTATTATGATGCGTCTTTAAGTATGATGGGCCTGTTTGGGTTCATCTTGTTTGGGACTCTCTGTGCTTCCTGGGTTGTATGTCTGTTTCCTTCACCAGGTTAGGGAAGTTTTCGGTCATTATTTCTTAAAATAAGTTTTCTATTCCTTGCTCTCTCTCTTCTCTTTCTGATACCCTATTCTGTGAATGTTGGTACACTTGATGTTGTCCTAAAGGTCCCTTAAACCATCTTAATTGTTTTTGGATTCTTCTTTCTTGTTGCTATTCTGATTGAGTGTTTTCTGCTACCTTATCTTTTAGACTGCCGATTTGATCCTCTGCTTCATCTAATTTACTGTTGATTCACTCTAATATATTCTTCTTTTTCAGTTATTGTGTTCTTCATTTCTGACTGGTTCTTTTTTATTTTTCCTGTCTCCATTTTTACATTTCTCTTTGTTAAAGTTCTCACTGAGTTCATCTACTCTTCCCCTAAGTTCATTGAGCATCTTTATAACCAGTACTTTGAACTCTACATCTAGTAGATTGCTTGTCTCTATTTTGTTTAGTTCTTTTTCTGGAGCTTTGTTCTGTTCTTTCATTTAGGACATGTTTCTTGGTCTTTCTATTTTGACTGCCTCCCTGTGTTTGTTTCTGGGTATTAGGTAGGGCTGCTGTGTCTCCCAGTCTTAGTAGAGTGGCCTTATGTAGTATGTGTCCTTTGGGGCCCAGTGGCACATCTTGCCTGGTCACCTGAGCTGGGTGTTGCAGACTATAAGTCACTGAAAATTTATGCCTTGTTTTTATCTATATCCCAACCACTGAGAATATGGTTTGGCATGTAGTCTACTTGCCTATTTAAATTAAACTTACAATATTAGATGCAGAGTTATAATGACAGTTTTGATCAGATCAAAACAAGTAGAATATGTTGAACAGCAATATTAGTTCACGCTGAAAAAATAGATGATAATAAAAGCAACCGTTTAATGAAAGATTAATATGTGTCAGACATTAAACTCAGTGCTGAAATATATCATTCCATTATTCCAAATCAAATTTAAACTTGAAAGATATGTCTTACTAGGTATAACTTTAAAGCTAAATTAATATCTTATTACATATAACTTTTAAAACTAAACCTTAAAATGCATTTATTTCCAAATTGTTGCTAACGGGATAGCAAGAGATGTTAGTGGAACTTTAAGTGGAGGAAATAGCCCTTGGAAATGGACAGAAGTCATCTTTGTTTCTTTATGTTCAGTTTTTAAAGCATTACTACAAATGTGTATACTTGGCTACATGTAGAGGTCTTCCGGAAAGAACACTGTGCTCATTTATAATTTGGACATGGCATGTTGGGTGAGACAGAGGGCTGTTGGACAAGTGAGCCCAGATGAGACCCTGCATAATGCAGTGCTTCATGCTGTTATCAACGGTTAGTTGTAAAGGCTTCAGTAAGTGCCATCCTTCCAACCTAAGACCCAAGGAGGGATACTCAAGGCCTTAGTTACTTAGACTAATTCTTGATTTTCGTTCAATATAAAACCTGCTCATTAGGAATTCCAGTGAGTGATTTTTGAACAGGAATGCTCATTGCTAATTGCTTCGTGTTTCCCAAACAAGTATATGATCTCAAATTGATATGACTATAAGTCATTTTTAAACATTTGTTAAATTTTGGCTTACATAACATTTATGTTACTCTAGCAATGTTGAACTATACTCTGAAGTACTTTTAAGTGGAAATCTAAAATAAAAGTATCATATAGTTTTCCCACACTTCTCAAACAACAATATAGCTTTTCTTCCTTTTTTTAGTTTGATTTTATTATCTTCTTCATTTCTCAATATTTTGTGCTGATTAAAATGGGTTAGATAGTCTCTATTTAATCCCCATGCTTAGAGTCTATCAGTAGGAAAGATTACATTAGTACTCAAAAAAAATATTTAAGATATTATTTTGCTTTCAACTCTTTCCATTATCTATAGAAATTCATTCTAAAGCTCTTTGTGGTTTTATTGCAGTGACACTGCAGCCAAAGCCCTGTGGGAAGCCTTACTGAACTCAAAGCACAAAGAGGCAGTGATGGAAGTCCGGAGACATCTAGTGGAAGCAGCCAGCAGAGAAAACCTGCCAATCAAGATGAGTATGGGTAAGTGTATCTACTTTACCTAGGAAATACAGTCTGCAGGCTCTGAGGTAGTTCATTTAAGCCTGTTCTAAACAGTGAGCCAAACTAGCCAGCATAGCACATAGGTAAAAGTATTGAAGTATTTGTAAACTGTTGGAAGGAAGGTAGGCAGGGAATATGAAAACACTGCTTTCGGAGCTCAACAATTCCCCTTGTCATAGACTCAATTTTGGGAACTCTAGGACAGCCCTTGCTTACGTAGACTACTTTTTTTAGTTTCTTTAGTTGGACTAGAACTACTGAAATTGGTCTGCACCATCGTCCCTTCATTTTATTTCACCACTACTCCCCTCTTCCCTTTTTTCTCCTCCTTTCCTATTTAATGTGTATGAAAACACTTTTATTGGCTTTGAATTAATGAATGAACTACTATGCTGACAAAACAATTGAGGAACTGGGCAGGCTTTGGCCTGGCCACTTCCTAATCTTTGGAGTGGTCTGCTAATTGTCCAGTTACATAAATGTTATCCTTTCCTCACTAGGGTATCACATATCTCATTTACTCATTCTTATTTTTTTCACATTCAGCTTTGTCTTCAGTATCAGAAGAGTCTGGCTGCAATAGAACTTAAATAGTTTTTTTTCTTTTGATTAAAAGTCAGAGAACTACTATTTTGATTTTAGAAAAGGAATTTGGCGTTATACTCTTTAAATTAAATAATTTTATTGGTATAGAAATATTTAAATATAGATATTGAATCTGGGATAGCATTTATTTCTGGAAACTTGCAAAAGTTTAATTATTTTAAAAATGTTTTCTCTCTTATAATTTGTTTTTAGATATCCAATAAATATTAGTACCTTTTACTGGATGGGAAAATTTTTCTTTTCTGAGCATCCTAGCCCAAGTTCTTGATTACTTATGAGTATAAAAATTAAACTATCAAGTTGAAATAGAAGAACAAAAGTTTGGAAGTAAACAAATGAACCTAGAAAGAAAAATGTTACAGGGTCACACTATGAAAAAAAAATCCTAATTTTAAGTATGTAGGTGACTATATGTGAGGGCTTTAAGGAAAATAATGATGATAAAAGTGAAAATAACATTTCTCGAGTGCTTACAATGTGCTAGGTCTTCTTCTAATGGTAATTCTGGTAAGATAGATACTCTTACTATCCCATTTTTCAGATAAGAAAACCAAAATAGAGAACATTCAATTGTCCAAGGCCATGGATCTGATAAGGGCTAAGACTGAAATTCAAACTCACTCATTCTAATGTGAGAGAATATGTTCTTTATTTACAAAATCATCTTCATTTCATACAACTAATGCCAGAAGTCCTACTGTTGTTTTAGGGTAGAAATAAAGCTGCTGCTTTGAGACCATCCTGGCATTTGACTATTAATTCTAGTCCCTCACTCCATCTTTTCCTCCTCCCTTTTTTCCCTTCCCTTCCCTTCCCTCCCTTTCCCTATTCTTCCTTCCTTCCTTTCTTTTTTTTTAATTTTCATACTTCTAAGTACTCATTAAGAATGAGTATGTATATCTTATAGAATTCCTTATTCATGAGTGTATTGAAAAAATAAATAGTTCGTATCGTCAATCAAGAAAAGTAGGAATGCACAAAGGGACTTGGTGATAGGGTTACTTTATATTGTGCTTCAGAGATATAAACTTATGATGCTATCGCAGAGCATAAATCAATTTTTATTGCTCAGTGCAGGACTCTTGAAAGATCAACACACTTCACTTTTCTAAAGGGCTGTATCTCTTAAAAATAATCAGAGCTAGGGGAAAAAAAAGACGAGTAACCCCATAACGATTCAAATTTAAATGTTTGAAATTCCTTTTGACTGAAAAAAATTAGATAAAATGGTTTGCTTTATCCCAAAACACTAGACATGGGGGAGGATGGGGAGAGGGGAAAAAAATGAATAAAAGAAACAGACAATTGTTGGAAAACTTTTGTTTTACAAGGGCCAAAAAGATTGGCTCAAATCACAGTTTATCCATATGACAGCTATAATTTATTAAAAGAAAACACATTGTGGCTACCCATTTCTGTTTCATATCACTAGTCAGAATACTAGTCAGAATTTCTGGTGTGTCTCATTTTCATTTTTGCAACAGCTATATAACCATCGATAGTAAGGAAAAGAGCTGAGATCTAAACATAATAAAACATTGGTATTTGAAAACTGCTTATCATATAACTTAGAAAAAAAGTTATGCTCTGATATACTACATGGCTGGAATGCTTTTTCTAGCAGCACTTAAAATTATAAAATGTATTTTAAGCCATACACTATTCTCCCAACCCTTGCTGTAAATTCTACTGCAATATAAATTTTTCTGACTTATTGGCTTCTAGTATTTTTGTGACATTAAACAGAGATTTTAATTCTAGATTGATGATCCTCTTATATTTTAATTCACTGAGAGGGATCCCATGATTAAAACCTCAGATCTTAAATATAAAGTTTCTCAGTACGAGGTAATATTAAAACATTATACATGCCAATAAAAATAAATATCATTCTCTTAAAGGAAAAAGCTTAATTGCTAAAACTATCCCAAGAACTTTTATTTATGTGGATTATATCTATTGATATATGTGGGATAGATGATAGATAGATAGTAAGAAAATATCACAGAAATTCAAGCAGAGGAAATTTTTCAAGTATTCATGAAGTAATATAAAAATATTATAATAAACTTATTACATGTTAACATGAATAACATATTTTTGTAAAAAATAGCTATATTTAAAAAAATTAGTGAGAACAGTGACACTGTTTTACATTTTTGCACATCTCTAATGTTTGGTTTAATAGAAGACAGCTATATTCTCATATCTGCTTCTTCATCCAATATGTTGTGATATATCAATTTGGATACACTATATAAAGGAAATCTGACCTTACAAAGATATATAATTTGAAAAGGAAGGAATATTGTAATAACTTTTCAGAAAATTTCAGATATTCTTTTGCTACAATACTAACTTTACAAGAGGTAATTTCTTATAGATTAATTGTAATGTAGAATATTAAACCATATCATTGAATTTTCTATACTCTTATAATAAAATCCATTGGTCTTTCTTGCACTTTCAATAGATCTTTTATACACACATTATTTTATATCATTGTACATTAGGCACTTGGAAAATATTGGTTCTCTAAATTGTCCAGATCTTCTAAATGTTGACCCACATTAAACAATATAACAAAACCACATTTATTGGTATCCCCACTGACATCATTAGAAAATCTTTAAGTATTGGGAATGTAAAGATATAGGGGTAGATGTAAATTTCCCAAAATTATAATTTTACACAAAAACTCGTTATTGACAATACAAACTGCAGTTGTTTTTCCAGTTGTTTTCAATTATACAAAAGAAGTACTTTTTTATAATTCTCATTTCTTTACACAGACTATTGACATTTTCTTAAGGGTTGAGATTTGATAAAATTAACATTTACAGTTTCATCATGGCATTATGAAGTGAAAGTGATTTCTTTTATAATTTGTTGCCACTGCCTTGATTGGTGCTGAGGCACCAGTACTTTTATCCATCATTGTATTTGCACCATCAGGGCAAATACAGCTTAGTAACAAAATCAAGTAACATCTTAGTATTATTCTGAAAATAGTTTTGACTTTTCTGACTATGTGAAAGTGTCTCAGGGACCAGGAGGTCCATAGAACATCTTTGAGAACCATTATTTAAAAGAGTGCCATATTCTCTGGGGTATGAGATCATTGGAACCACAGTTAAATGTCAAAGTAGAAGGGGGGAAATCTCATTGGAATTTTTTCTAGACGTTGTCCAGATCTAGAGGTAATCGACAATTATTTTTATTTATTTAAAAGATATTTATTATGTGTATATGATGTATTAGATCCTTGTAGGGCATAGGAAACATCTTCTGTTCAAATGAACATATTATTTAACTTTGATGAATCTTTTTTTTTGTCTGCAAAATGGCTATTATAATATCTACAAATCTGACAATTAGATGAGAAGATTATGTATATGAAACATGGTGTTTGTGAAATTTAAGGTGTCCTGTAAAAAGAACGTATAGCATAACATTATTTATTGTCTTCTGGGTAGATAAAACACATAAAAATAATGACCAATGGCCATAAAACTGTATATGAAGAGTACTCTACCAGATATCAGCATGGAATTATTGCCTCTGTAGGATTTGTTCCCTCATCATCTTAGTGGGAAATGTGTGACTAGAGTAATGGTTGTCAGGAGTGAAAGTAGAGATTTGAGATTTAGATACCTAGTGATTATGTTGAAGCCTTATATTATGTTTTTAAATGAAATATAAGAAACATAATATTTTTAAAAGAATTATAAAATTAATCATCCAGAGAGAAGGTAGAATGAGTGAGCAGAGGATTAAAGGCAGAGCCCTAAGGAACACATCCATTTAGGGGTATGAAGAAGAAGAGAATCTAGAGAAAGAGACAGAGTTTTCACTGAATTAATAATTAATAAAGCCTGAGAATGTTAAGGTCACTAAACAAATGCTTCCCTCTTACATTCAATCACCTAAAACAGAACTTGAGTTGCCTCTGTTTCTCTATTTCCTCATCTGCAAAATGGGAATCTGAATTTCTAATGTCCCTTTAAGCATCTACCCTATGGCTCTATATTTTTAACTTTAAGTGGTGCATCTTCTTTTTCTTCTTTTCCCCTCCACCTCGTCCTCCTCTTCTTCTACCTTTTATTAATCTTTATGTTTTCTCAACATAAGAGATCCTCAACAAGAGACTATGGTGTAGGAATTTAAAACCCCCAACAGTATGATATGGTTAGGAAGCTCTGGGCTGCAGGGTGGAAGTTGCTTTACTTAGAGGCTCCCCTAAGAACAGAAATTTCTTTCCGAGTCATAGTGGACCCATCAAGGAAATGCTCCTTCTCTGGCAGCCTGGTAGTCTGCCCCCTTGATAACAGGGGTAAGCATCTGTTCCTTTCCATGTTCTCCGCTGAGTTTAT